TACCTTTCGAGGGGGGGGGGGGGGGTTGGTGATAGTGGGGGGAAGCCAATCTCTATCCTGAGGTTGCCAATCTCCCGGTGGTGGCTGGAGATCCCCTGGCATTACACCTGATCTCCAAGTGGACTCTATGGCATTATATCCCATTGAAGTCCCTCCCCTCCCCAATCCCCGTCCTCCTGAGGCTCCACTCCCAACCTCTCCAGTTATTTATTATTTTTAAGTATAAGCTTCATGGGGCCGCGGTGGCTCAGAGGTTAAGATGCAGAACTGCAGACCGGAAGGCCTGTAGCTCGGCAGTTTGAGACCCGAGTGCCGAATGACGGAGTGAGCTCCCGTCTCTGGCCCCAGCTCCTGCCAACCTAGCCGTCTGAAAGCAAGAAATTGCAAGTAGATAAATAGATACCGCTTCAGCGGGAAGGTAACAGCGTTCCGTGTGCCTTGGTGTTTAGTCATGCCGGCCGCATGACCACAGAGAAGTCTTTGGACAGCGCTGGCTCTTCGGCTTGGAAACGGAGATGAGCACTGCCCCCTAGAGTCGGATTCAACTAGCTTTCGAGCAAGGGAAACCTTTACCTTTTAATAGCTTAATGGGTGCCTCACAAGAATAAAATTTGCCCCACAAAATGGAAATCCTGATGCTGTGTTGCTAGGGGGGGGGGGGGATTTTAATATTCTGTATCCAGTTATGTTTTGTATGGATCATGGATTCCAATTCACTTACTTAGCACATTCTTTTTATCCTGCCATTCTTCCAAGGAACTCAGGGCAGCAGCAGGCACCATTCTCCCCAGCTCTATTTTGTCTTTCCAATGACAACCCTGTAAAGTATTGTAGGCTGAGAGTTCATGATGTGCCCAAGGTCACCCAGTGGTGAGTTTCCATGGGGCAGAGTGGCGTTTTGAACCTGAGTCTCCTGGATCCTAGTCTGACACTCTAACCACTACGCACCCCTGGCTCTCTAATCTCTTTGCATTGTCAGGACATCCTGAAAACCAGCACCATGTCTAGATTTTTAAAAATCCTGTTCATTACAACTTTTTTAAAAGCTGCGGTGGCTCCAGTGGTTAAGACGCTGAACTGCAGGCTGTGGAAGGTCAGTAGTTCAGCCGTTCGAGACCCGAGTGTGCCACATGACGGAGTGAGCTCCCATCTCTAGTTCCAGCTCCTGCCAACCTAGCAGTTCGAAAGCAAGAAATTGCAAGTAGATAAATAGGTACCACTTCGGTGGGAAGGTAACTGCGTTCCGTGCGCCTTGGTGTTTAGTCACACAACCACGGAAACGTCTTCGGACAGCGCTGGCTCTTTGGTCTTGAAACGGAGATGAGCACCGCAACCCTAGAGTCGGATTCGACTGTCTTTCGACCAGGGGAACCTTTACCTTTACTAAATGTTAAATGGATGTAGAAAAGAGAAAGATGAAAAGAGCTTTGTAGGCAGGAAATAGACGTATGTGAGTAAGTCTTATTGGAGAGGGTGGGGATTGGGGAAGACACGGGAAATCATTCATACAGGAGTTATGCTAAGGTTTCTCCACTGGGGATCATTAGGGCCCCTACCCAGAATCCTTTCTGGGCAGCCATAAGTTCTGGGAGCCTACCTTTGATGAAAAATGGCAGGCCCATTCATATAGTCCAGGGTTTAGTTTTGTATTGGTCACCCTATGTTCAAATCCTAGTTTATGCACGATTTCACTAAGAACTCTTGAGCATCTCATTTGTCTGACTGCCTCGGTTTCTTCATCAATGTAATGGGAAGAATGATGTGCTTTGTCTACCTTGCAGGGACTGTATGAGAAGAGAACTCAAATCACATAATCTAATTGAACTTGGGTCTTATCAAAGTAAATACATTGTCAGCACATCCCCTATTGACACAGGTCCCCAGATGTGCACACTTGCTTGTTCATGGTGTTGTGGGTTGAAGTTGTATCCCATTTATTCCTCATCTCTCTTCCAACCTCCAGGAGAGCTGTGCCCGTATCCTGCTATACCGGGGAGCTAACAAAGAAATCAAGAACAACCATGGTCAGACGGCCTTCCAGGTGTGTGGTGAATGGGGTTCCAGAAACAGTGGAGCATGCTGACCCCAATTTGAGTCTAAGACCCTGTATTCGGTGCTGTAGAGCATGTGCATACAGGGGTCCATGTGTTTAGGTCAGTATGTCCCACTAAGGACCAGGGTAGCCCCCTGCTTATCATTTTGCAGGGACCCAGGGTACATTTTCTTATATGTCTCACAAGGAAACAGGAGGCGCTCAACCATGGAGTGGCCTTCTAAACATTACAGTTCAGTTGACATGGCTTCCAAAGGGGGTTAGCCAGATTTGGCGCAGTCCAGCAGTGGCTACTAAGCATGGTGAGTAAAGGGAACCTCCATATTCAGAGGCAGTAAACCTCTGAAACTCAGTGCTAGGAGGCAACATCAGGAAAAGCCTTGGCCTTTGTGCCCTATCGGTTTGCCTTCCAGGGCAACTGGTTGACCATCATGTAAAACAGAACACTGAACTAAATGGACCACTGGTCTGATCCAGCAGGGCTCTTCCTATGTTCTTATGACATTTTGTGCCAGATCTGATACTAAGATCCCTGCATGCACACATGTGCACACACACACACTTTGTCCCCTTCTCCCCGCACTGCAGACTGTATGTGTGTGAAAAAGTGCCGTCAAGTCACAGCCAACTTGTGGTGACAACAGCAAGGGGCTTTCAAGGCAAGTGAGAAGCAGAGGTGGTTCACCATTGCCTTCCTCTGCAGAATCTTCCTTGGTGGTCTCCCTTTCAAGTACTGACCATGCATAGCTTCCAAGATCTGAGGAGACTGGGCTATACCATGCTGCCTTCCGACACTGCAGCATAGCCTTACCTTTAATGCACCAACACAGGAGATATGATGAGGGGGGGAAGGAGATCTGTGAAGAGGACACTGGGGTCTCTACCATCTCCTTGAGCCTAATCTCAAGGGGCATCAGTGAAACCCGTGTGTCCCCCCCACAGCAGCTAACATCATCGCAAACAGGATACTCCCGATGACCAGTTCTGCCCCACTTGTACTGGACTGCTGGTTTTAGCTGCCATGCAAACCTTTTTTTGGCCCAACTGGAGCAGAAGTCTGCAGTCAACCTGCAGCGTAATACAAGGACGTGTCCGCTGCAGGTTCAGGGTGACCATAGGCCAGCCACTGCATAAATGTGAAAAGCTTGATCTTTTCCTGCAGAAAATGGAGCATGCCCAAGGTTAGAGCTAAACCTTGCCCTCTCTCACTCCTCCTCTCACTGCTAAGAATGTAAAATATTATATATTGCTGTAAACATTTAACTGGGCCTCGGGCAAGCCCGATTGCTACAGAGAAATCCTCAGTGTCTTGTTGGTCTGTCAGCATATGGAGAAGAATTCATCTCTGATATACATGTGTGTTTGTGTGTGTGTGTATGTGTACGTGTGCTCTTGTCTTTGTATGCGCATATTCCTTCCATGTCAGGTGGCGGTCATTGCAGGAAACTTTGAGCTGGGGGAGCTGATCAAGAGCCACCGGGACTCAGATGTAGGTGAGTGCGATGGGGGAGGGGAGGGTAAAGAGTGCCGGTGCTATAAATGTGAACTGCAAATTGATTTAATTTGTCAAGGTTTCACTCACACATACACGAACGGAAGAAACTTGGGAACTGTAGCTCTCTAAGGAGGCTAAGAAATTCTAAGTTTCAGAACTGACAAAACTACAGTTCCCAGGGATCTTAGAAAGATGCCAAGACAGGCGAACTGGTTTAAAACCTGAGATTTCTCACAACATTAGAGGGTCTTTTCACACGGAGGTTTTCACATGGTTTGGGTGCCCACCAGAAGTGGTATATATCTCCAAGCTTCTTCACGTCCAGGTTTTCTGTTTCTTGTCCTTCCGTGGTTCATTCGTCATATCTTTCTGAAATGAGATATCAAATATGGTCTGAGAAAGTATGTAGAAATGTTGAGGGAAACATGGGAAGACAGCAGATGGAAAGCCAAGACATGAGGAAGCTTTGATAAAAAAAATTGCTACAGATCGGAATCCGAACCGCAGGAAAACCTCCGTGAGAAAAGGCCCTATATCTGTATCCAGTGTCACGTGTTGCCCTTTTTCCATACTCCCCTACCAACAACTCTGACCCAACTCTCTTTACACCCTTCCAAGACTTTCAGGGGCATGATGGAAATACACACATATGCACACATGCGGTATTTTCTCGCATCAACTGTTCCTCCCTGGCCCCAGTCTGGTCCATGTCATGACATCTCCGCACAGATGTGCCCGTAATTGATTCTCTTCCATTTTCATTTTCTGCGATGCCACTTCCCCCCCCTTTCAGTCCCATTCCAGGAGACCCCGCAATATGCCAGCCGACGCCGGGATGGGTCTCAGAGCCTGACAGTGCCACACACCTTGCTACGGGCCAACAGTGATACCAGCATGAACCTTCCCGACTGGATGCTTTATGCCCCCCCATCCACGCCGTCTGCCACCGTGGCAGTACAAGGCCAGAAGATCACCACGGGGACCTTGCGTAGTTCTAGCAGTCCCCGTGGAGCTCGAAGCCGCTCTCCATCACGGGGACGCCACACAGATGAAGCCAAAAAACAACGAGGTCGGCCCAGGTACATTTAAGGTTTCAGGCCTAACCCAGGTTGGGGTGGATTTAAGATTATTTGCAGGGGTCATTTCATAGAAAAAGAGCTAGGGGAACTCATTAGCATAACTCATTAGCATATGCCACACCCCCTGGCATCAGGGGCCCGGTGGTGGACCTGCAAGGCCGGCGGGAGTGCGAGGAAGCCCCGCCAAGGCCCTCCCTGGCCCCAGGCAGGCAGGGGTGGGGAGAGGCAGGGAGGAAGCAACTTACCCTCCCTCTTCTCCTGCCTCCTCCTGGCTGAATGAGGGCTGGAAGCGGGGCGGCCGGAAGCAGGGGGCGGGGCTTCATCGTGTGCCCCACCCCCCTGCACCTCACCCGGGGGAACTGTGTTCCCCCGCGTCTCTCCCTGAAATGACCTCTGATTATTTGCATTCCAGAGTTGAAGGTTGTAAGTCTTGGTCCTGAGTAGCGGTGTAAATGACGTTTCATTCAAACCGTCAAAGATTGTGTTATGTAAACCTGAGCAAGCTAGACCAGGTACACATTCTTACTGTTTATCAGCTCTGCTACTCCCTTTTGTTAAATTCACAGGTTAAAGGGTTCTCTTGCATGCAGATGGTTAACAGTAAGCCCAGTGCTGGGAAACACACATTCTGTAGGCACAGATGATCCTGGAATGCACAGGTAACCCTGTGCTAGTTTGCCAAGCCCTGGAAAATGTTTCAACATGTGTAGGAGTGTATAAACAGTCAATGAATCCTTCCCGTTTACGCCTTAAATGTTTTAGATTGACTACCCAGGAGTTTCCTTGGTAGTGTTCACTGGAAGGCAGGATTTTTAGGTTCTTTCTGAGAGAAGTGGGACTTATTGGGTTAAAATGGAGAAGAGACAGAGTTGGCTCAGGGCCAAATGACACCCGATATTGGAGGGCTGTGATCAGATCCCCTGATCTGAAATTAAGCATTAAAAAAACAGCCGCAGAGGATGCTGATATGGATCGAGGATGCAGCTGCTAGCAAAGGGGAATAACTTTAGTGCTTCCCCCATATAGTGTTTCCTGAATCAAAATGGGACCAGCTAGACCACTTTTAGGGAGAAAATGACACATATGGTCTTTTTCCACACATCATTTCCAGACGGGGACATACTCAGTTGAGGAAATGTGAGGGGAGAATTTGCGGAAATGGGGGTAGGGAGAAGAAAACCCTTTTGTCTGCACTGCAGACCTCATCTGTATTCCCCTTGCACCCATGGCTGCTTTTTGAGATTAAATTACGCATTGGGGGACCTGATGGTAGGATTATTGTACCTATCACCTCCCTTTTTTACTGCACTGCCCTGTACATTTGTAACCCCATTTCTCTACTATGGCATGTCATGCCTCAGACAGTTTGAGTTGTCTTAGATAGTTTTGTGTTGGCGTGATTTCCCAGTTCTTGTTTATTGGAGGTCTTTGCTGTATGGTTGGATTGCTTTTCCTATTCTGTAATCCTCCCTGAGCCTCAGCAAGAAAGGCGAGCTATAATTGAAGTTGTTGTTAACAACAACAACAACAATAATATATTGCTTGGCGGCCATAAATCATACTTTTCCTGTCTCTCTTTATCTCGGCAGCTCCAGTGGCTACCAGAAGGAGTCAGCTGGGGGCAGCACGCTGAGTAGCCGGGGGGTGAAGCGGAAACTCTATTCGGCTGTGCCTGGCCGCACGTTCATGGCTGTGAAACCGTACCAGGCCCAGGCCGAGGGTGAGCTCTCCATCAGCAAGGGCGAGAAGATCAAGGGTACGTTGATCTCTGTGCACACCCTTGGATTGGCCGGTGGTCCTCCCTGGGCCCAGGATGCCCGGGGTCCTTTGTGGAAGACTGGTGGACTTAACAGAGGGGTTCTCAAACATTGTCATAGCCATTCCCCCATGTGTGTGTATGTGTGCGTGTAAAGTGCGGTCAAGTCACAGCCGACTTATGGCAACTCCAGCAAGGGGCTTTCAAGGCAAATAAGAAACAGAGGTGGTTGGCCACGGCCCTCCTCTGCAGTCTTCCCTGGAGGCCTCCCATCCAAGAGCCAACCAGGGCTGACTCTGCTTAGCTTCTAAGATCAGATGAGATCGGGCTATACCATGCCACCTTCCCATTCTCCCTATACAAAGCATATAGAGATAGTATCCCATTTGATATCAGGCAGAGGACAACCTGGATTTGTGGGAAATGGAAGAAGTATGGCAAGTTGGAAGGGACAGGGGGAAGGATCTCCATCATGATAGAAGAGATTCTGCCAGTGTACAGGATGGTTCCATATGCTTTTTTTATAGAAAAAGCCCAGCAGGAACTCATTAGCATAATAGGCCAGACCCAACAGCAGAAATTAATTAGACCCCTGACAGCACAGCTCATTAGCATATTAGGCCACACACCCCATGTTTGCAGAAGTGTGGTCATCCAAACACACCCACCTTTTGCTTCTTATTCTGTTTACCTTGTTTGTTGTCAAAACCCAGGGCTTTTTTGTAGCAGGACCTCCTTTGCATGTTAGGCCACACACCCCTAACATAGCCAGTCCTAATGAGTTTTTGTTGTTGGGTGTGGCCTATTATGCTAATGAGTTCCTCCTGGGCGTGGCCAACTCGGGAGCCAGCCGGAACTCCGTTCCTGTGCGTTCCTGCCCAAAAATAGCTCTGCCTCCACATACTCATATACCTCTACTGGCAACACAAGTCCTTGTTCCTGAGTACTAGGTACTCAGAAACTGCACACATCGGGAGTGGGAGCGACTTTCAATAATCCCAGTTCGCAGAGTCGCCATGTTGCATGAACAGGGACAGTGTGTGAATTTTGCATGCATGTACAGCTTTGATAAGCATGAAACAGAACGCTGGAATGTCCAGGTGGTCAGTTTGCACGTACCAGAGCTGTAGGCACATGCAAAAGATGCACTTTGGTCCCAGTCAGACAACACTGTGTCCATGCTTATTGGACCTATGCATGTTTACCTTTCCCTAGTTCACATGGACATAATGCCTGAAATGGGCTACAGTTCCCAGTTGTCAGTGCTCCCTCTAAGCTGGGTTAGTGTGAGCAAGCTCACATTTTTTTTAGCCTCTGGCTCACACATTTTAGTCTTAGCTCAGGCTGGATGGCTCCAGAGCAGAATAATTTATGCAGGAGTCAAATCACTTGCTCACAACTTTAATGCCAGTAGCTCACAAAGGAGAATTTTTGCTCACAAGACTCCACAGGTTAGAGGGAGCATTGCCAGTTGTACCAGTTGGGATACAAGAATTGGGAGCAAATATGCACACTCAAGAGCCATGTGAGTTGCCCGGGAAGGGTGTCAGGAAGCTCTTTGAATCTTTCTCTATAGGGAGGCTACCATCTACCTCACACTTTGAGGATCCTGGACTTAGCGAATGGAATTGAGGGTCAGGGCAATTGTGAGGTCTGGCTTATACATGTGTGTGTGTTTGTTGTGTAGACTTTGGTTTTGTCTGGAGTGTTTTGTGTGTGTACCGTCATTCTTATGTAGTTGGTTTATACATGCAAGTTTATGTCAGATTAGAGTGGCCAGAATTTTGGAAAAGAAGAGTTCTTTTAAACTGTGGTCTCGATAAACTAAGATTCCTCTGTTCTATCCAACTGGAGACAGAGGTATGGTAATAAAAGGTTACTAGTGCTGAAGGTTTTGTACTGCTTTGTTGCTATGATGTTCTAGGGCTCGGTTGTACTGTAGACTGTGGTTCTGGCTCGCTTGTTCTTTGAGGACAGCTGCATTCTCTACCATTACAGCCTCTTTGTGGGAGACCACATGAGAAAATTCCTTCTGTACTCCCATGCAGTTATACTGAAAAGGGTTAAAAACAATATCCTTCTGCCAGGAAATCTGGGGAGCTACATGTTGTTTGATACCACACTACTGTAATCACTGACCTTCTGGATTTTCCTGTCCAGACAGAAAATCCGGATAGTGAATTATTACAATAGCACAATATTCAATGGCATGTCAATCACTGTTTTCCAGTGTTGAATTCTATCCCATTATTTTGGGTTTTGTTCCAAGAGGTCTCTTCCCAAAGCCAGAGATTATGTTTTAAAAATATGTATATTCTAGAAAGCACAAATGTTTGGGGACAATCTACGAGCAGGTAAAATTACAGAATACTTGTAAAAAAAAGATATGAGATAGTTGCTGGCTACCCTTAGTTATAGTGCTTAAGCATCCCTACCTCTAGTTTGTCTTCCTTTGTCAGAAAGTTTTCTGAGGCTTGCCTGAAGGAGTTGCTGGAGGTATCATGCAGAGCTGCATGCCAGGCACCCCATTTATCAGCTTTCCCTCTAGTTTTGGATGTTTCCTTCTGGGTCAATCAGAACTCAGGATACAATTCAAAATTTTCTTCCAGGACGACTTCAGACCGATAGGGTTGCCAACTCTGGGTTGGGAAATACCTGGAGATTTGGGAGGGCAGGGTTTGGGGAGGGGAGGGACCTCAGCTAGGTATAACTCCATAGAGGGCACCTTAGGGTTACCATCCCCCCGGTGGGACCAGGGGATCCCCCGATTTGGGGGGACCCAATCTAGTGCCAGCCACCTGGCCGGCGGGGGGAGCCACACCCCAGATGCTGCTGACGCAATGACATCACCAGCTGTTACGCAGCGATGCTCTAGCATTCGGGGGGAACTCTATGGTGGCCATAGAGTTTTTGGCCCGAATGCTAGAGCGTGACTGCCAGTGATGTCATTGTGTCGGCAGCATTCCCGTGGTTGAAAGGTCACTACCGGTGATGTCATTGCATGGCAGAAGAGTCCCGGGGATGAGCCAGGAGCCCCCCACCACAGCAAAGATGAGACCTGGCAACCAGTGTTCCCTCTAAGCTGAGTGAGTGTGAGCTAGCTCACAGTTTTTTAGCCTCCAGCTCACACATTTTTGTCTCTGCTCAGGAAGGATGGCTCCAGAGCAAACTAATTTATGCAGTAGCCAAATTGCTTGCTCACAACATTAATGCCAGTAGCTCACAAAGTAGAATTTTTGCTCACAAGACTCCACAGCTTAGAGGGAACATTCCAAAGCAGCCATTTTCTCCAGGTGAACTGATCTCTGTCACCTGGAGATCAATTGTAATAGCAGGAGATCTCGAAGCACCACTCTAGGTTGGCAGCCCTAGAGACCAATCACTTCAAAAGTAAAGATTAAAGGAGTTTTGCACTCTGTGCCAAAATTAGTGCCGTAGGCAAACTGAAGAACGGGATGTGAATATGTTATTCAGGTAATGCCAGGCTGGTCAAATGGTGGAGCTGCCCGGTTGATTTTAACTCTTCTCTACTCTGCCCCATCCATCAGAATAAAAGCCTTGGCCTTCTTTCCTGGAGTGCCACGTGGGATCTTATTGTTCACTTTTAACAGATAAGCCTGTGTTATTCTAATATCATATTCACGCATCCATGACAGTTGTAAAAAAGGCTTCTTATAAGAATATTATAATAGTGCATTACTATTAATAGATGCATTGCAAAAATATGGTCAAGCAGAGTTGAAAGGTCACTTTTAAAAAGAGAAGCCACAATCTTGGGAGACTCAGGGGGCGACACCCATCAAACGGCAGGAAACGGTTATGTAATTACACAGTGCGGTCCTTTTCACAGTGGCTCCAGTCTATGCCCATTGCAATCAACGTGCTTTAGATTGGAATAACTCTGTATAGTATCGCCCTGCTAGTCATAAACAAAAGTAACTGTTTTCAAAGGATGCTGCTGGTTGATTAAATATTAAAGGAGCTTTCCCAGCAAATTGTTGTTCTGTGTGGTTATGTGAGTGTGACCTTTCAAAAAAGCTGCAAATAATTCAGCATATTGTAATCTCCGTAACTATGCCAAGATCTCAAGAACCCTGATAGCCAGAGCTGAGATATTTTATCAGTAAAAAAACCAAACCAAAACAAAAAAGCCCTACTCTTCTCAAGAAAGGAATTTGATTTGGTTGAAGAATTTAGCACTAAAAACACTACAGAAACTTGTGTCAGCTGAGACATTATGATTCCAGTGTGAATCCTTCCTTCTTCAGGTCGCCCGATGTGAATAACTGCACTGGATTGCAGAAGGAAATGGCATTACATTTGGTCTTCATTTTCGTTCTGGAAAGATGTTAAGGAACATCTGTTGTTTTGGTTGTTCTCTTAGGGACCATCTGAAAGTTCACTTGGACCACTAGTGGACCACAGTCTTTTCTCTAGAATATATATTTGTACTTCTTCTTGAGTGTTCTGAGGACTTTGAGGGGTTTCATATGCTTATCGAACCTTTATCCAGGCCCTCCCACTGCTCCCCTGGCTTGGTAGACTTTTCTCTTAAAGGAAGAAAAAGAAAGATGAAGGGGAATGCTAGATTATATGAAAGCATAGTCTTTCAGTGAGCTGCCTTCAACCACTGGCCCAGCTAGCTCGGTATAGTTTCAGGCAGAGAAAGATCTTTCCCATCACCTGCTGATCCTTAGGTTTGCCTTTTTTAAAAACTGGCAATACCAAAGACACAATCTGGGACCTTCTACATGCCAGGCTTGTGCTTGGTCACAGCCTCTTCCCTGTAGATAAGGCCAGGAAATCTTCAGGCACCTTTAAAAGATTGTGTAGGAAAAGTAGAAAGCCTGTTCCACAGTATTTACTTTTATTTATTTATAATTTAAATGTATAGACCACCCTTCCCTGAAGATCCAGGGCTCAGGGCGGTAAACCACGATAAAAACATCCATAAATTGATAAAACCATTCCAGCAGTTAAATAAAGATGACCAAAACATTCTCAGGTGGTGCTAAAATATTAAAATTTCAAATTGTACCACTGTCTTACGGGGGAGGTAGAGAAGAAGCAAGGGGGGAGGAAGGATGGTACCCGCTGCTGTCCTCAACCAAAAGCCTGGCGGAACATCTCTGCCTTGCAAGTCCTGCGGAACTGCATTAGGTCCCACAGGGCATGGATGTTATTCCGCAAAGAGTTCCGCCAGGTAGGAGCCAGGGCTGAAAAGGCCCTGGCTCTGGTCAAGGACAGCTGGACATCTTTTGGGCGGGGGAATCACCAGTAGATTATTCTCTATATAGCGTAATGCTCTTCGGAGGACATACCAGAGGAGGCGGTCCCAAAGATATGAGGGTCTCTGACCATTTAAGGACTAGCATAGCTCAAATCTTTGCTCATAAACTGAAGTCTCCATGGCAGGATCTACCCAAACACAGTTGGGATCTGAACCCTTAAGGCAAGATTCGAGGTGCGTGGCCAAAAACGAGCTGTGCAATCTTAAATCCAGTTGCAACTCTGTGGAGTCTGTACCTCTTTAAGGGTTGGAGAAAAGCAGAACAAGGTGCCAGGCTGAGAGGTTTATTAGAGCTTCTAGGTCTCTGTGCATTTTGCTAAATGCTTTGTCAGGGGATCTTGTATAAAAACGTCTCTGGCTCCCACCTTGTTCAAGTTTTTATACAAGAGCCCGACAAAGCATTTAGTGAAACGCGTTGGGATCTAGAAGATCTAATAAACCTCTAAACCTTGCACCTTGTTCCTTTTTTTTCTTACCCACTGGTGCAGACGAGTCTTCTTCCTCATTTAGGGTTGCCAACTTCCAGGTGGTGGCTGGAGATCTCCCGCTATTACAACTGATCTCCAGGCCACATAGATCACCTGGCGAAAATGGCCGCTTTGGAAGGTGGATTCTATGGCATTGAAATCCCACCCCTCCCCAAACCCCGCCCTCCTCAGGCTCCACCCCCCAAATCTTCAGGTATTTCCCAACTCGGAGCTGACAACCCTATCCTCATTAGAGCCAGTGCTGGTAGAGCAGCACAGTAACTTAAGTAGCTGAGTTATGAATCAGAAAGTCCCTGCTTCATATTGTCTCACCTCTGCCATGAACTTTCAATGTTGCCTTAGGCAAGCTGACCAGTCTCAGCTTCCCAGCTATGATCTGTAGGTAGTAATACTGACATCACAGAATTGTTGTTACAATGAGTTAATGGATTGGATCTGACCAGTTTTTCTGCTGATAAAAAAGAAATCCAAGGACCCGGTCACACGGGAGGTTTTGCCCCGCAAGAGGGACGGATCGGGGGCACATCAAACGGGCGCGATCCCACCGCAACATCTGGGAAGTGTAGCGCACCCGTCCCTGATCTGTCCTTTCCGGGAGAAACCGCGCATTAAAAAAAACCTAGAAAAGAGTACTACCTACCTGAAACTCCGCAGCAAGAGCGGCTGTGAGATCGCCGGCGCGCCCGTCTCCCGCAGCATTCGAGGCTCCCAGCCAAACTGCGCATGCATGCACGCCGCCTCCCTCTCCGCTCCATGGCCCCCCCCCCCCAGCATCTGATCATGCCGGGGAGCAACTGCGCAGCGGCTTCGGGGATCTGTCTGATCCCGCCGCCGCGTGTCTCTTTTGGTGCGGCTCAAAAAAGCTGTGCTTTGGCCATGCCTTTCCCCCCCGTGTGACCAGGACCCAAAAAGGTTAGGTTAGGTATCATGAGTCCAGCATGGACAGAAGCCATATGTGACGGGTAGAGAGTTAGGCAAGAATGAGTGGGAAATTAGGCAGAATCCAACCAAATAGAGCGTACAAATGCTAAGTATTATTACGTCAGTTCAGACATAACATAAACCATAGTTTACCTTTGGTGGTGGAAAGTACCATCAAGTTGTAGCCAACTTATAGTGACCCCACAGTTTTCATGGCAAGAGACAAGTGGAGGTGGCCAGCCATTGCCTGCCTCTGTGCAACAGTTGTGGACTTCCTTGATGGTCTCCCATCCAAGTGCTAACCAGAGCGGACCCTGCTTAGCTTCTGAGATCTGACAAGATCAGACGAAGCTGGGCCATTCAGGGGAGGGCGCGGTTTTCTTCACAGATAACGTCTGAAACCAGAATTCAGCTTGCAGGTGATCCTTCAGCTCCTGGATTGTCCCACGAAATGCTTGCCTTTGTTCTTTTCCTCACCTCTCCCTCAGAGTCCCAGCACTACCGCTAAGATGATGCTTGGGTGCAAACCAAAATGAAGCTAGGAGGTCTGCGTTAATACATCTCACGAAGCACGTCGTTCACACGACTTGTGGCCAGTGAACCCACTTCCATCTGTGGTTCCGGATCCTTGTTTCAACATGCCCTACCTAACCACAATTAGCAGAATGGTGGCTCAAATGGTTAAGACGCTGAACTGCAGGCTGTGGAAGGTCGGTAGTTCAGCAGTTCGAGACCCGAGTGTGCCGCATGACGGAGTGAGCTCCCGTCTCTAGTCCCAGCTCCTGCCAACCTAGCAGTTCGAAAGCAAGAAATTGCAAGTAGATAAATAGGTACCACTTCAGTGGGAAGGTAACAGCGTTCCGTGCGCCTTTGTGTTTAGTCATGCCGGCCACACGACCACGGAAACGTCTTCGGACAGCGCTGGCTCTTCGGCTTGGAAACGGAGATGAACACCGCAACCCTAGAGTCGGATTCGACTGACTTTCGAGCAAGGGAACCTTTACCTTTACCTTTTATGTGGAGAGGACCACACTCGTTGCAGACAGCACAAGCCAAGGTTTTGTGTGAAAGCTGAATCAAGCCTGTCTTGTTGAGGAAGCCCTGGGCTAGCAGTTGGCCCACGGTCAGTCAGCAAATTTCATGGCTGTGGTGGATCTGAACTTTGTTCTCCCAGGCCACACAGTCTCTGAATAAGTGATGACCCTTAAAATGGCGGCCACTCTCATCTCCTCGCATGTTCCCGCCCCTAATCGTGCCCTTTTCCCTTGCAGTGCTGAGCGTCGGGGAAGGTGGCTTCTGGGAGGGACAGATCAAGAATCGCGTGGGATGGTTCCCCTCGGACTGCGTGGAGGAAGTGGCCAACAAATCACAGGAAGGGAAACAAGGTAGGTGTTCCAGACACACCCTCTCTTCCCCATAAGACTGCCAACCTCCGTGTGGTGGCAGTGTAAAAAAAATCAAAAAATATTGGGGTATGATAAACAAAGCGATACTTGAAATCTTAGAATTGAACATGGATTTGAGACCAGAAATATTTTTGCTAAATATTGTCCCAGATGGATATAACCTTAAAGATGTATATCTTATAGTTTATATATTAACAGCAGCCAAATTGTTGTTGGCAAGGTTCTGCAAACTAGAAGAAATACCCACTAAATGAGACCTAAGTTTAAAAATGTTAGAACTAGCACAAATGGATGATCTGAGTTTAAAATGACAGGGGGAAAACGATACGGTACATAGTAATAGATGGAATAGGGTGTATGCATGGATAAATAAGTTGATGGAATGAAGAACTCTGAAAACTTTATGTAATCTTTCAAGCTATTTTGTTTAATGAAAAATAAAATAAACGTTAAAAAAAAAAAGAGAGACTGCCAACCTCCAGATGAGGTCTGCAGGTCTCCCAAAATTACAGCTGATCTCCAGACTAAAGAGAGCAGTTCCCCTGGAGAAAAACGGCTGTTTTGGAGGGTGGGCTGTGTGGCATTGCACCACCCCGAGGGCCTTCCCCTCCCCAAACCCCTCCCTCCCCATTCCCCTCCCCCAATCTCTAGCAATTTCCCAACCCAGAGTTTGCAATCCTACGTCCCCGTCCCTTGCCAGTTCCAGTCTCCTCGCAGGCCTCTTCCGTTCCTGCTCTCATCCAGAGTTGCCAGTATCCCCCCCCCAGCATCATTAGTTAATCATCAATAATTACATTTGCATATATGCAAAGCATCGATGAATAAGTCATGAAGGCTTCTTTGGAGGTTCTGTTCTCCCATTTGCACATTACGAACACGTGAAAAGAAGAGGCCAGGAAATGGAGGCAGAACCAAAAACTGAGCCTGCGGGTTTGACAAACTGTGTTCTTAATGAATGGGGTTGAAGCTTCCCCCCCACCCCCCCGTGACGGCAGAGTCTTTTTTCAAAATCTGAGCTTTTCTAGAAAACAGTGAATGCAAGGCCCTATACTGGCTGCATATGCTTTTCTCCCCTCTTATTTACCTACTGCTATCGCAGTCCTTGCTGTGAGAATAATCTGCGACCAGACCCATACAACGCAGGAGAGCCAGATTGATTTAAATTGGCCATATTTCATTAATTCCACTTGCAGGAAAGCCAGCTTTGTAGTGCTTCAGGATTTGCCTTCCAACCAGCCTCCTTGTTCTTGCGTTATTCCTTGCCTGCTGCTTTGATTTTACCCCTTCATCTTCCCAGCTACCCTTTCCCACTCTGGCACGGACAAATCCCACTGGCATGCCAACAGCTCCAACGAGCCTGTGCTGCCACTCAGTGGCTGCTGGAAGAAACGCCAGGAAGCACAGGAGGGCCCAACGTCAAAGGGAAGTGTTACTAGAAGATGGGCCCCATTCTGATCACCACCCCCCTCTGCTTTGCCTTTCAGAGAGCCGCAGCGACAAAGCCAAACGGCTCTTCCGACACTACCCAGTGGGCTCCTACGACAGCTTTGATGCCCCCAGGTGAGCAAATGATCCGAAAGAGGCAATATCTACAGTGGCGTGCAAGGAATGGTTGTGTGGAAATGTGGCTGTGCAAAAGCACATACATGTGCAACGCCTGGTGTGTGAAAAGCCTAAAGATCCCCATTTCTTCTGGTGGTATCTTGCGTGTATTTTTAGAGCTCCGGAGTGTGTTGTTTACCAGGGCTCATTCATAAAGACATCGTGTTAAACTGCTAGAACATCGTGTAGAACTGCTACCGAGTTTTCTGTCTCTTAGAAGGAGGGAAATTCCAGAACTGGGTCAGGCACAGAGCGGATCAATGGGTGGGATCCAGCCAGCTTTTTTACTCAGTTTCTCCCAATTCTCCTCCTTACAACAGTTCGCATCTCACATGGCTTTTGTCCATGCAGGTTCATAGTAAAAAGGGAACCCTCCTGCCTTTCTTTGCCAGTGGAAAAGCTGCTTGGACCCCAGCCACTGTGCTCACTTTCAAACTGAGCAGAACCATTGTAAGGGTTTTGCTATTTAGAAGACAGTCTAAGAGCAAAATACCTGTAGTACTAATTAACTAATTGCTGATGATTTGTTTACATTAAAACAAACTGGATTCTCTTACAATTTTGGGGGGGGTCATTATTGTCACCATTATTCCAGTGCTTCAGTTGTGGTTTATCGAAGCTGTGGTTTACTGTATTTTTCTTTCTTCCCTCTCTATTTTTTAATCTTTATGCTATCCCATAGAGGGCAGCCGCGGTTTGAAACAGAATGTTGGAAGCACTCACTTGCATCTCTAGAAAACTTTATCTAAAAGAGGCTTAATGAATGAAGTGTTGATTCAAGCTCAGAATGTAATAATTTTGTGGACTGGGAAGGAATTTTGGATTATTTCTCGTGTTTTTGGGTACTTTGAGGCTTGGCTGACTTTCTTGAGTTATCTAAAATGGTTGTCCTAAAAGACATTGTGGTGTGATGCAGCCTGCTTGTGGTACTCAGTGGTCTGATTCACGTCTGATTTATGCTGTTGTACAGAACCAAATTAGATGTGGTGCTTTATCTGGTCTTTTCAAATTTACGGATTCTGACAGCTCTGTTGGTTGAATCTTAATCTGACACTTCACTACTGAGAATTTCTGTGCCACCACTCTAGAAAACTGGCTCAAGTTGGCTTACAAAGTAAAAACATAAAACCATCGATGGCCCCGGTTACACGGGAGGTTTTGCCCCGCAAGAGGGACGGATCGGGGGCGCAGCAAACGGGCGCGATCACACTGCAACATCCGGGAAGCGGCGCGCACCCGTCCCCGATCCGTCCCTTCAGCCCGAAAACACGCATTAAAAAATACCTAGGAAAGAGTACTACCAACCTGAAACGCCGCAGCAAGTGTGGCCGTAGGATCGCTGGCGTGCCCGTCTTCAGCAGCATTCGAGGCTCCCAGCCAAACTGCGCATGTGCACACATGTGCAGCTGGCTGCCTCGCTCTCCCTTCTGTGGCTCCCCCCTCCCCGGCATCTAATCATGCTGGGGAGCAACTGCGCGGCAGCTCAGGGGATCTGTCTGATCCCGCCGCCATGCGTCTCTTTTGGTGCGGCTCTAAAAAGCCGCACTTTGGCCACACCAATTTCCCCCGTGTGACTGGGGCCAATGTTGTTAACAAGTAAAAACATCGCCAGAGCATAAAAACCAACATAAAACACTCAGCAGCTCAAGAAGAGTCTCATAAAACAGTTCTCAGTTTAGAAGCAGACTATACAAATGATGTTAAAAGATCAGCTCATTAATGAAAAGGCTGACTAAAAAGAATCCTTTTGGCCTGGCACCTAAAAAAAAACAGGTGAGCCTCAAGGGGAAGAGGGTGTTCCACAGGTAAGGTGCCATCACTGAAAAAGCCCTGTCTCAGCTCACCACTCACCAAACTGACAGGCTGCACCCACAGCTTCAAAGGGAGGTGTTTTGTTTTGGTTTTTGTAAACATTTTATTAGGATATAATAAACAAAGTCCAACATAAATCAAAACATATATTTCCACAACCCTCCCCCCCTCCCGTCCCCCCCCCCCACTCGGCTTCCCACAGTGCTCCAACCTCCTGTGCGTTTCTTAAATGTTTTTCCTCCCTCCCTTTTTAATTACACAAATCTATAGGTAACTTATCCCCCCATTTTTTTTATCCTTATATCTTTAACTATTTTTTAATCTCCTTTAACCTTTAGTAATTATTGAAGCAAAGTAAATTGTCTCTTACATCCCAGTACTTTTCCAAGTAAGTCTTTCCAGTCTGCAAAAAATCTTCTGCTTCCAAATTATTAAGTTTCCTTGTCATTTTGTCCATTTCAACCATGAAAAGTAATTTCTTAATTCAGTCACCAACTTCAGGAACCTGCACATACGTCATTCTGGCAGTTGTGATCATATACCACATCAATGTCCTTTTTGCCATATTAACTTCTTCCATTTTAAGTCCCAAAAGTAAAATTTCTGGTTCTTTCTTAAAATTACATTTCACAGTTTTTTTCCATTTCCACATGAATCTCAACCCAAAAATGTTTTGCTTTTTCACAAGTCCACCACATGTGATAAAATGAGCCCTCTATCTTTTTACACTTCCAACATTTGTTTGACATATTACTATTCATATTAGCAATTTTCTTTGGTGTCATATACCATCTATACATCATCTTATAACAATTTTCTTTGCTTCAAAGGGAGGTGTGATCTTGCAACTGCGGGTCAAATTCCTCCGGAGGAAACAGCCTTGCTTTCCCCCGTTTTATTTGGTGCGTGTGACCGCACCCAAAGTATTACTTGCAATAACACTCCCCATTCATAGATCCAGGTGGGTAGCTGTGTTGATCTGAAGCTGGAGAACAAAGCTTCAGTCCGGTGGCACCTTTAAGACCAACAAAGTTCCACTGTATCTGAAGACATGTGCATGCACACAAAAGCTTATATCTTGAATAAAACTTTGTTGGTCTTTATGGTGCCAGTGGACTCAAACTTTGTTCTACTCCCCATTCATATCATCAGTAATCCTTACAGCAAGCCTGTAACATGAGTCAGTCTTATTATGCCTGTAGTGCAAGAGGAGGTGGAGGAACTGAGGCTTAGAACGAGCAGCTTGCTTGGGGGGCCTGGCTTAGGTAACAAAGGTAGCTCTGTGTGTTTAAACCTGACTTGTGGCAATTACAGACACACGGACGGGTGGTCTACTTTAAGAAACACAGAGTGTAGTTCAGGAGACTCGAAGCCTCCCTTTCCTGCTGTACTCATCCCTGCAGGCCTTCCTCTCCAGCAATTCGCTCTCAGCTAGGCTGACTTCTGGTATTGGATGGATGCTCGGGAGCAAAGTGCCTGTGAAGGAAGGTACAAGGAGACTTCTTCACCCACATGTACTTTAAATCAGCCCCCTACCCTCCTCCGTGCTTCTGCATTGGTTCCTGGCAGATCTGGAATTAAGCACCCTGATTTGCTACCAACACATCTCATTTACTCTCAGGGCACCTAATACAGTACACAAGGTAAGATTTCGAGTTGGATCCATCCCGGGGGCGGGGGGGGGTTTTGCTCAGTCTTGCCCAGTTACCTTCCTCATTACAGCCCCTGTCACACATGGCTTTTGCCTGTGCAGATCCCATGATCTCCAGCATAGCCTTCTTGGTAACTTGGGGGGGGGGCCTTCCTCTCTTTGAATTCAGTGGAAAAGCTGGTCAGATTTCACCCTTAAACTGATTGGATTTGCCCCTTAAACTGGGAGCTTCTTGCGACCTCTGAGGGCCAACAACGCAAGACACTGGGAGACATATTTTGCAAAGCATCCGTGCACTACTCTGCTTCAGATCAGAGGAGAAGTGGGTTAATTGTTTTCCACCGCCGGCACATGGTTTTGCAAATCATAACTAACATCCCCTCCCCATGCTATAATTCCCCTGAATGGGGGAGGGGGGGAGACAGGAAGAGAGGGTGTCTGTCTTTTTTAAAATCTTTTAACAACAGGGGGGCAAGGAATGGCAAACCGCACATAGCCAAGGGTTAAGCTACCTTTCCCCCATCCACTGTGGCCGCAGTCTGAATCAGGGCCCTAGGCAACTGCAATTTCTCTTTAAAATCCTCAGGAAGATCTATATGTGGATCATGTCTAGTTTGGCTCGGAACCCCCTGTACTTGCGAAGTCTGGGGCAAGAACATTAAGGGACTTGGCCGGGCTTTGCATGTGACTTACTCAAAATCTGGCAAGCTGCAGCTTCATCAAGCTCTGGTCTGCTCAGCAGTCACTGTGTACCGGAAGGCCAGCCTTTTTTTTTCTCCTCTGCTAGGAAGTTCCTAGTGCACGGGGAAATGCCCTTCTGTTCTAAGGGCACAGATGTCTGCTGCTCGGAGACTGGCAAATATGTCTTCGCTTCTGTTTCGTGCACGTGGAAGAGGCCAATTTTTCAGCTCTCTTATTAGATTAATTATGGTAGCACCCTCTGCTTCCAAATCTAGTAACATGAATCATTTAAGCGGCACTTACAATGCCCAAAGTGCTTTATTATCTTTACCTTGATTAGCCTCGCAGGAAGCCTGAGAGAGGAGCCGTGCCTGTCACTTACCACCAGGGCCATTCAGTGAGACCGGGCTAGAGCTCAGGCTCACCCAGTTTAACCACTCGGCCAGCCATTGCCTGAGCTTGCACTGATCCCATCAACTCCTTTCCCATTGTGCCTGCATACTCCTCTTAGAGAATCCCAAACATCACACAAGTCTCTTGAGGTGGCTACCTCTGCCAGTCCTGAATGCAACAGCCTCAGTCTTCTGTTCCCTCCCCAAAGCCCTCAGAACCCTGATTCCCCCCCCCATTTGCTCAAATCCTCTAGAATCACTCCCTGCCCAGAAACCGCAGGAGTATGGTCTTCACCTTCTCCCTTTCTTTGCAGCACCCGGGCAAAAGTAGCCCTCCCTCCGATGCCTTAGACAGCACTCTAGCCATGCCCCTTGTTCTTCCTCTGGAGATTGTGGGTTTCTCTGAGCCATTTTGACCAGGA